GCCATCAAAACAAACTGTATCCAGGATGTGGCTCCGCTCAGGAATGTGGAATAATAGGAAATGTCTGCCTCTTGCAGGGCGGGAGCTGGGCGACCTGACAGGACGTGAAGGAAGGAGAGAAGAGATTTGGAGGCCACCGCACAGCAAAGGATGTGTGAAGGCCTCTCACCAGCATCCTTGCCCTCGGGTTGGGCAGGTTGGCTGGCCCTGACCTGACCATAGAATACACGTGCTGCTCTTTAGGAGAGAAAGAAAAGCCAACTTTATTTTTAGAAATGAATAGGCTTTTGTGTGTGTGGCCTTGGATCACACATTTGCCAAGAGACTTAATGGGATACCCAAAGAAATTAAAATACAATAAGAAAGGATTAGGTTCAGATCTGTTTCCAGGAGCCTCGTGCTAGGTCCAGCTCTCTCCGATGTTTTCCCAACTGTGAAATGGGGCGAATGCATCCACCGCCCCCCACGGGGCTGGGCCAAGGATCAAAGGAGACCGCAGAGTCCTCTGAAACGTCGCTGGCTCCGCTGTGCTCCACCAGAAACAGGGATGACTCAGTTACTTCCAAAGAGAAGAGCTCAAGGCAGCTGGCCAGCTTCTCGGGCAAAGAGCTTTATGATGGTTTACAGGAAGATGCTCAACTCCCATACTGCTCTGATCTGCCAGGCCGGACAGCGGAGGCGCACACTGCGTATAAAACAGCTGCCGAAAGCAACGCCTCAGCAAATGGGGCCTCTGAGGTAGGCAGAGATCTCGGCCCTGCCCTGAACTGCTTCGGTTCCAGGCCCCGAGGAGGAGCTGAGTCAGGACCTACAAAGTTACCTCACTGGCCCCCGAGTAGCGTCAGGAGGGCACACACCTTTAAGACTTCCAGGGGTCCCCAGGCTGCCAGGTAAGTGAGTCTGCTTGAGCAGAAATCAACCTCTCCTGCAGCACTGGATCTCACAAAGTGGCCCATGTGATGGGCTCTCCAGATACCGAGCCACCTCTCCCATGGGTCCAGCAACCTGCTTACTCTGTCACCAGCAGCAGCTCTTGGGTGAAATTCAAGTCTGGTGGGTTGATGGATGACCCTGGGGCAGAACACATGTAGGAACCTTTCTGAACAGGTCCCTCCTGAACAGTTTTAGCATCTCCCCATGGTGCATTTGGACAGCTCCTCGAGGTGGACACACGTCCACTCACACGGCATCCGGCTGGGAGGACAAGAGCCCTGGGTGCACCTGGCCTGGCTGTGTCTGATGCACACAGGGAGTCATGGCAAATCTCCCTGCCATGGACACAAAGGGCAGGCTCCCTCTCTCCCTCCAAGGACTTGTCCCTCTAGCGCTTTCTGACTTCTGTGTTAGGAAAACTCTAGTGGGTCACAACCTGGAAATTCTTAAAAATTAATTTGATTGGTACACTTTTGATACATAACGATCACATTAGTTCCAGGGAGTTTGTACCTGTACATCATATATCTTTTTTTTTTTTTTTTTGGCGGAAACAGGGATTGAACTCAGGCCCTTGCGTTTGCCAGGGAAGCACTTATTCTACTGAGTCATCTCCCTGGGCCCCCATCATATATTTTGATTCTCCTTTCTTTCCTATCCCCTCCCTCTCTTTTCAACCACTCCCCATTTACAAGAACTGTGTTCATTTTTTTGCTTTCTGTTCTCTTTTTCTTCTGCTGTTCCTATCCCTTCCTCCTCCCTTGTTCCCTTTCCCATGATGTACACTTCCCCTTTACTTCCCAGTATTTGTTATGCACTATGGCCCTTGTTGACCAATTTCTCACATAAGAGTGAACATGTTATTTAAATGTGTGTCCAATTTAGTTCACTCAAGAGTATGGCCTCAAGGTGCATCCATTTACCTAGAAATGTCTCCAGTTTATCCTTCTTTGTGGCAGAGTAGTATTCCATTGTATATAAAAATCACATTTTTATCCATTTATCTGTTGATGAGCATGTGGACTAGTTTAAGATTTAGCTATAAAAATAGTGCTTCTCTAAACATGGGTGCACATATATCTGGAACCTCTAGTTTTAGTTTTTTGAGAAATCTCTACACTAATTTCCATAGTGGTTGCACCAGTCTGCACTCCCACCAACAGTAGAGAAGGGCTCCTTCCACCCCGCAACCCCCCAAGAACTTGTTTGATTTCTTGATGGTAGCTGTTCTTTCTGGAGCGAGATGGAAACTCTGTGTTGTTTTAATTTGCATTTCTCCAGTGGCCACTATTGTTGACCATTCTTTTTATATATTCATTTGCTATTTTTGCTTCTTCATCTGAGAAGGGCCTGTTCATTTCAGATGCCCATTTTTACATTGGGCCTTTAAATTTGGAGAATCTGAGTTTTTGAGTTTTTTATATATTCTAGATATTAGTCCTTTGAGGAAATCATCGGTGAAAATTTTTCCCACTGTGGGTTGTCTGTTCACTGTGTTGTTTTGTTTTCCTTCTTTGTTTGTTTTCTCTGCTCGAAAGCTTTTTTTTTTTTTTTTTTGTATTTTAGGGAAGGATATACAGGGTGTTTACGCTCTCACTATTACATCGGACTCACAGTGATCTGCCTGTTTACAGCCTCCCAAGAGCTGGGATTCGAGGTGCGTGCCACCACACCCAGTCTCTTGAAAGATTTTAATAAAATCCCAGTGGGGGGGGGTTTGGTACTAGTTCCTGTGTGATCAAGGTTTTATTCATAAAGTCTATATCTATACTTACATGTCCAAGAGTTTCACCTATTCGATCTTCCAGCAGATTTTGTGTTTCTGTTTTAATATTTAGATATTTTAATTAATTAATTAATTTATATCTGTGATAGCGCCTTGCTACACAGCTCAGACTCATAGTGAGCCTCCTGGTTAGAGGCACGTGCCAACACATCCAGGGCCAGCACAGCCTTCGGTACCAGGGCTCAAACTTGGGTCCTTGCACTTGCCAGGCAGGCACTTAGGTGAGCTATCTTCCCAGCCTGTCTTCCACCCATTCTGACCTAGGTTTAGAGTATGACAAGAGCTGTGGTCTCAGTCTTTGGCATGTGGAAAGCCAGTTGTCCCAATACCACTTATTAAAGAGGCAGTTTTTCTCCCAGTGAAGGTATCTGGCTCCTCGTCTTTCTCAGCCCTAACCCTGTGCACTGAGAGTCCCCAGGTAAAGCCTTGTGACTTCTGAACTCAGGCAGCAGCATTGTGAATGTTATTTGTTCTTCCTGACCCCCGCGGTCAAGCAGGTAAGACTAACGCTATCACCAGGCCATCGATACATGATGAGCAGGGCCCAGGACATGGTGACTCCGCCCATTCCCCCAGTAACTGGTACAGGGCCATTAGTGTGGAGCCCTGGGGTCACATGTCCCTGTCGCAACCTGTGCCTGTCACAGACCTTCCATGGGAAGAAGACCTGCTCTAAGAACCCACAGGCATCCTCAGGTCTGCCAGTACCACATGAAGGTGAAGATCTTACAACCCGGCTGCATTTTCCCATGAGGGATGAGTGGCCTGGACGTCACAGCCCGGATGTTGGAGGCTAAGTCCAGTGCAAGTCCTCTCTCTAGGGCCCCTGCCTCCCAAACTGTAGAAAGTGTGGTTGAACTTTGCACTGTCCAGGTCCCAGCAGTCTCTGGGTACTGGGGGGCTCGCTGCCACCCCACCTATAGTAAGTTTTTAGCTGTTTATTGCTCTTTTTTTTTTTTTTCTTTTTTTAACATAGCTCTGAGGATTGAACCTCAGGCGTTCCTTGAATGTGCTGACCACCTGTTCAACCTCTTGAACAGGACCTTGCTTTGTCTTTAGTGGAAACAAAGAGTGTATCCCCTCAGCAGCGCCGTTCTGGGTGATACCACACAGACACTGGCACTGGCTTTCTTCCTCTTATGAATGACAGGGTCCTGGCGACCTGGAGCCTAGAAAGGCCACAGAGGAACAAACTGGCAGATCCTGGCCCCTCCTCGGACTCCTCGAGTGAAAGGCAGGGCTTTGAGGCTGAGGACTGGTAGGAGGAATCCCACTGGGAGGCCAGGTGTCCCCACACCCCAGCTGAGCAGCTTTCCTGGTGTCCCCAAGGATCCTGACCCACTCCGCCTGCTCAGGGCTGGCTCAGACAAAGGGTTATCATGACCAGCTTCCCAGGATAAAAAATGCAACACAGAGAGGCCTACATTCACACTTTGCTGCAGTGACCATTTTTGGAGACAAAAACTAGAAACCTCTAGGCTGTGAGACCGGTTCGGCTTTTGCCTCTTAGGCCGCGCTCTACTCTCACCGGACTACTGGCTTCCTCTCAGTCATAATGGTGACAGGTGACAGAAGTGCCTCCCGGTTTTGCTGGGATTTGTGGTCTTGGAAGCAGCTGGCAGGCAGAAGACAGCCACTATGACTTTTGGTGGTACAGCAGAGGACAGTTGAGGACCTGGCACGGGGTTCACGGCTGAGCCCTCACCGAAGGGGTCCACCCTGGAATAAGATGCCTGGGCCCTTGTCTAACAAGGCGGAGGAAGTCACTGTGGGCTGGGCAGGAGGGAGGGAAAAACTCCTCAGTTGTGAAACGCAGTCTTCAGGGTCCCGCTTCTGCTTTTGGTTCCGCATTTGGCACGGATGCCTGCCTGTGGTGAGCAGGACATTTTTCCAAGCATCCCTGGAAGTTGAAATGCAAACTCATGGCCAAGTGAAATTTCCCTTTGGCGGTTTCTAGCAGGCTCTGGCTTCTTTCTCTGGAGAGCTGGGGGTCGCTCCCAAAGAAGGGCTGGGGGGCCTTAGGGAAATGGGGTTCAGAAAGCCAGACGGGGGCCTAATCTGCGGGACGAAGTTCCCCACCCCTAGACCTCAGGCATCCCCAGGCCGCACTCCCTGGGCAGCCGGACCGGGAGAGGATGCGGAGGAGCATGCATCCCTACACCCCTGGGCCGGGACTCCGCTGGCGACCTCGCGCGTGACCCGGGTGGGGGCGGGAGTGGTGTCCGGCCGGTCACGTGGCGGGCAGGGCGGGGCAGTGGAGCGGGACAGCCCCGCCCTGAGGGAGTGTCTGGGCGCCACCTTAAGGGCCGCGGGCCAGTGCGGCGCGGGACCGACCTGGGCCTGGGCACACTGGGTTCACTTTGAGCCGGAGCATGGCGCGGTGCGGGCCTGTGCGGCTGATGTTGCTGCTCGCGCTGCTGGCGGGTGCGGCGCAGGCCAGCCTCCACTTCCGCCGGGGCCAGACTTGCTATCGGCCCCTGCGAGGGGATCAGCTGTCGCTGTTGCAACACAGGTGGGCCGAGGCCAAGCCTGGGGAGGGGAAGGCCCATTCCTGGGGCTGGGTACGCACTCCCACCATTGGGGGACTTTTCTCCTTGGGGTTCCAGGAGCCAAGGAGCCTGCCTGCCTAGACCTTCCAAGGTCACATGCCATGCCCCCGTTTAGGGGTCACTCTTCACGTCCTGGGGGAGCTAGGCTGGCCCCACCTCTCTGGCCCGTGGGTCTTGCCCCTGAGCCTTACCCTGCTGAGGAAGCACTTCGGCCCTCTCCTTAGAATGCATTCCCCATTCTAAGAATGCAGGGAGTGCTGGTATGAGGGGCTGCCGGAGGCCACACTCCCACACTTGGGGAAGGAAGGAGAGCTTTGGCCCTCGTGGAGGGTCCCAGTGGCCTCAGGGACCCCAGCGTTGATTTTGAAGGTATCCGTCTCTTCCCAGGACATATCCCCGGCCTCATGAATACCTGTCCCCACTGGATCTTCCCAAGACCTGGGACTGGCGCAGTCTGGATGGTGTCAATTATGCCAGTGTCACCAGGAACCAGCACATCCCCCAGTACTGTGGCTCCTGCTGGGCCCACGGCAGCACTAGTGCCATGGCAGGTGGGTGACCTGAGCCCAGGGCCTCATGAGGGGTCCTGCTCCACATGGGTGCTATGAGCAACTGATTGTGGCCACAGAGGCCTACCCTGGCAGGCTCTATGGCAGCACCTCAGCCACCACCCTGAGGGGCCAGGGGCCTGCGAGTCTCTGCCAGGGCTCACCCTGGGCCTTGGCCATCTGCCAAAGGAACACAGCTGAGAATTCTTGAGAGTCTCCTTTGTGGTCTTGCCTGATAAGACAAGGACAGGCAAGAATGGGACTGAAACTCAAGGACAAGGGGCTTCCTGGTTGCCCTCCCTCTGCCAGATCTTGTGATTTCAGCCATTGGGATGGAACCAGAAATGCAAATCACTGAGCCCTCACTTGGGGTAAGGAAGTGAAAGTGCTTCGCTGCTGCAGTTAAGAGTTGAGGCCAGTACAGCCTGGGGCTTCAGTAACCTGCAGTGTGTGGCTCCAGCCTTAGCCGTCACTGTCCCCATTCTGTTCAGTATTTTTGTCTGGACCTTGATCTGCTGGCAGTGGGGGCAGGAAAGAGGGGGAATCTGGAGGCCACAACCTCCTGAGAGCTGCTGTGCCCTGGCCTGGGAGAGAAGGCCAAAGCCCAGGAGCCCCAGGCTGCCAGAGTGTGTGGGCGGAGTCCTCGTGGCTGTCCCAGGATTCAGGGATGGGGTGGGGGGAGAGGCTGTGCTCTCTCTTCACCTGGTCTGGTATCTCAGGCCAGGCCCGTTGTAGGTGTGGCCTGTGTTGCAAGAATTAGCAGCTATACAGAGGCTGCTGCTGCTGCCGATTAGGGCTCTGGGGCAGGAAGTCCTGTTTGCAGCCTTTAAACCCCTTAGCTGCCTCGATGGAGCTTAGCAGACAAGGAAACTGAGTCTGTAGGGAAGAGAAGGAGACTTGGCCACGGAGCGAGCAACAGCAGGGGTGCAAGCTCAGGAACCGAGGGTCTGGCGTCGGGGTGAGGGCCCCTGCCTGGGGCTGGGGCCCGTATCCCAGAGCAGAGCAGCTCCAGCCTTGTCATGAGGCAGAGTCTCCTGGTGGTGGCCTGGCTGTGTCTCTCTGGGGCCTGGCGAGAGGCTGTGAGGACCAGAGCATCACTTCTGAGCCTCCGGAAGGAGGAGGAAGGGGCAGGTGCTCTGAGACCCTGCTGACAGGGTCTGGAAGACCAAGCAGGGGGTGGGAGTGGGGCAGTGCTGGGCCTGTGGCAGGTGGGTGGCAGAGGGTCCAGACAAAGTCCGAGAGACACCCAGTCATGGCAGGGCTGGCACTGGGGGGAGTGAAAACCTCAGTGGAGTTGGGTGAGGATGGCAGAAGGACAGCAGTGTCACCTGGACCTGTGGAGGGAGTCAGGGGGCATGATGCACCTTTATGGGAGCATGCAGTGTAGGGAGGAGATGGCTGCAGGCCCTGTGTGCCTTGTCCCCTCCCAATGTGTCCACCTAACATTTTGGGAATAGAATCCCCCTCCAGGCAGAAGGCAGCTTCTTTTTCCTTAAAACTCTGACATTTTATTCAGTAGCAGCCAATGACTGCGTTTCCTCTTTCACGAAGAAAATAGAAGCCGCCAAAGGGGACTTCCATCTGCGCGCCAGGGAGCACTGGGGTTAGACTTTTCCTTCTTTCCTTTCTAGAGGGATCAGGTGGCCACACCCCGCATGGAGGCCACCCTTCCTGCCACGGGCCCCATCTTCCAGCCTCGGGAAGGTCCTCCAGCAAAAGTACCTCGACTCTACCCAGCCCCCTATGTCCCACTTCCAGACTCCCCCTCCTGCAGCCCTCTCTGGCCTCGTTCTAGCGCTCCGCCTGTGGCCAGGGGGCGGGGCTTCTGTAAACTGTGCTCAGCCCCTCCCCCAAAAGCAGTACTCCACCCCCCCACCCCGCACCCACCCGCTGACGCCTCCCCAGCTGTCCCTTCCTATTGCCTTTGCCTCCTCCGCCCCGTCATTGCCCGACTCCTGAGCCTCAGGCTCCCAGGTCCACCTTCATGGGCATCTTCTCTTCTTCCACCTCCAACCAGAACCCGCTGGGTACGAGTGGCTCCTCCCGCCACGACTCCCACCACCCTCCAGTCCTTCTTGTCATCCTGGCTGGCTCTTGGGTAAAAGACTCTCTGCTCTGGGTCCCTGCCACAGCTGGGACAGTACCTAGGGATCTACCTTCCAAGCAGATGCTCAGACATCGCCCACAGGCCCTGGCCCTGCTGTACCCCCCGAGTCTCTCCAGGGCCTCCTCGCGGCTGCGCTTGCTGGTCTGGTCTCAGATGGCTGGGATGGGCCTGTGCAGCCCAAGTCAGGTGTGCCTTCTACTGCCACTTCTCATGTTTCACTCAGATGAATGGTGGAAATCTTCTGCGACTTTCCCGAGCCTACATAGTCTGGTTTGCTTCTTCATCCTGCTCATATCAAGGGGGATTCCAGGGGCCTCTTTTTTTTTCCCCCCCTTGAACTGACATTGTAGCCTGGGCTGGCCTTGACTTGCAGTGACCCTCCTGCCTCAGCCTCTCCAGTGCTGCAATCACGTGTGCACCATCGCACTAGGGGCCCCCTGACCCCTTCTCCTGGCTCTGCCGTCCTTGGATGGATGTGATGCGCCCTTAGACAACCTGTGCAGATCACAGCTCACTGGGTGCCTTCTCTCCCAAGTGTTCCCTTGATACTGGGTGAAAAACTGATCTCGGGTGGGTGACCTCAAAATGATATAGGGAACCTCCAAATGACAGGGAAAAATGATCTCCTGACCTGACCTGCACGAGTTTGTGTTCTCTAAAACCGAAGAATGAATTTTAGGAACAAATGGAGGTTATGAGCAGAACATATTTATTGAGGGAAAGAAAGCCCTGTCCGAGAGAGGGACAGAAGGGGAACCCGAATGGGTGATTCTCCAGGAAGCTGTCTCTTCCAAGGATTTTTATAGTGTAAAACCATGTGGGGCTAAGGTGGAGAGAATGGGAACTCGCTTAGGTGGATGTGGGGGTGGGGCAAAACTATGGGCACCCAATGAGGTTACAAGCACCATTGCTCAGGTAAAATTGATTAAGTCCTGGACCAAATGGGGAAGGGAGTCCTGTAGCCATGGGGCGTGAATGTAAAACAGGAGCCACCAGATAAGGATTCTTTTTGGCTTTCTCAGGGTAATGTTCCATCCAGGATGCTAATCTTTAGGGAGGTTAGCATTTGTTTGCTCTTTAGGTCTGGCTCACAGCAGGAGCATCCGTCCCTCCCAGAGTTGTAAGGCATCTCCTCTTCTGTGCTGTCTCCTTTGAGGGGCCTGGCCCTGTCCGACTGCCTGTAATATTTCTATCCTACTCGGCTGCCTGCAACACCCTCATGGCCCTTCTTACTCTGTCCATTTCAGTGGCCTCCCGCTGGGGGTCCATGGGTGTGCGTCCCTCTAGGTAGCATGTCATCTGCCTTCCCCCACTGTGAACCTGGTGCTTCAGCGTGCAGCAGGTGTGAGAACTCTGTCAACTGCACCTGTCATTCTGGCTGCTCTGATGACTGGGGCAGGAGGACTGCAAGACTGAGGTCAGCCTGGACACCTTAGCAAAACCCTATCACAATTTTTTATTTTTTATTTTACAAAGGGCATATTGCTTGCTTAGCATGTGTAAGGCCCTGAATTCAATCAAGGTACCAGAAAAAAGAAAAGAAAAAAAATCTGCTGATGAACCAGATGTGGAAGGTGGAAGTGCTTGGATTGGAGGCTTGGCCAGGGGACAAAGCTGGGGATAACTGCATGTCACTGGTCCAGTTGGGAATGGGTGCCTGAGGTAGTACCTATGGAGAGCCAGCCCTGAAACTGGGCAGCCAGGCCTTGCTACTGGCCATGGCCATGGGGACCTGAGGGAGGGAATCAATGAGAGGACAGAAGGGCCCTGCCAGCGCTGAGCACAGTTGAGATGGCCCTGGCAGGAGATGCTTCCAGAAGGCTGGAGCAGCCACTCTGCTGTTACCTCTAGGGAACCCTCTTGTAGCCCTGTCTGCTGGCACGTGTAGCCAGGTAGTGCGGGCAGAAACCACAGGGCCCAGGAAGGGCCAGGCTCGTCCTCCAGTGCGCAGAGGCTGAGGGTGTGAGCTGGAGGATGGAGGTAGGGGGGCAGAGTGGGCAGGTCCCTGTGGCTTGCCATGGGTGCCCAGTGTCATTAGGGGAAGTGGTGGGGGTGGGGTGCTGACCCAGGTGGCGCTGACCAGGGTGCTGACCGTTGCAGATCGCATCAATATCAAGAGGAAGGGTGCCTGGCCTTCTGCCCTGCTGTCAGTGCAACATGTCATTGACTGTGGTGATGCAGGCAGCTGCGAGGGGGGCAGCGACTTGCTGGTGTGGAAGTACGCCCATGAGCATGGCATCCCCGATGAGACCTGCAACAACTACCAGGCCAAGGACCAAGGTAGGTCCTCCAACCCTTTGCTTCTTCCTCCAAGGACAGGGTGGCTGTGAGCCCGGGCCAAGCCCCAGCCTTGTGCTCTTTACTGCACGGCTGGGACACTGGGGAGGGAAGGTCGGAGAACTCAGGCTCTAAGGAGCAAGTCCAGTCTTGCCCTGGGCCACCTTGAATGTGGGTCACTGGGGCCCTGTTGCAACCAACCCCAAAGACTGGCATGGAGAGGCATCAGAAGGGCACTCTTCTGTCTGCAGCCTCCAGGCTTGGGAAGGACCAGACCAAGAGTCCTCTGTGGTTGGGCCTGCATGTGATGTGTAGTGCTGACATTTGGCATTTGGGTAGCTTTAGAGGCACTTCGTAGCGGGGGGAGTTGCGTATGGCATTGTGGACACCAGGATCCATTTTCCAGGGGCTGGGTGCAGAGGGCAGTTGAAGGAGCTGGAAGCCAGCAGGCCCAAGGGGAGCACGGCATTGGCCCGGCTCCTGTCCCAGTGACCCTGGCCAGGAATGGGTGGCAGGAGTCCCGGTGGTTGCACATTCCGTTGAGCCTGCTGCCTCGGAGACTGAAGGAAAGGAGAAGCCCAGACCCAAACCTAATTGGCAGCTTGAAGCCGCTGGACTCTCAGCTGTCCCTCACAGCTAGAGCCAGAAAGGCATCTGAGACAGGAGCAGGGAGGCAGGGTGGAAGGGGCCTGTGGAGGCGGCTGCAGCGCCACGTCTGCCAGCTCACTGCTGCCTGTGCCTGTGGGGTTTCTTCACCTTGCCTCCTGGGTGCTGCTGCATTCTAGAAGTAACTCTGGAGTGGCTAAGTTCTTCGTGTGGTTGAGGAAACCCAGCAGGTCATAAACCCCAGAGCAGTGCAGTGGACGTTTAGAGCCCTCAGGGCTGACCACAGCACGTGGTGGTGTGGGTGCCATCAGTGGAGGGCACAGAGAAGGCCTGCAGACTGCCCCATGGAATCAGGTGGGCTCGGGGCCATGTCCATGCCGCTTGCCTCCCACTCCGGCCTAGGCCAGGCCATCCCACGCCCACCCAGCCAGACAGGTGGATAGGGCTCATGAGAAACCTGTTTGCAGTAAACACTCTGGCCTGATGTTTTTGTGTTAGCAAGTAGAGCCACAGAGCCACTGCTTTCCAGTTGTGCTAGGCACTGGGCCTTGAGTGTCTTAGGGACGAATTAGACCAAAAATGTAATTCTCACAGATGTCACGGTCCCGGGAGAGGACGTGGGCCGATATATCACTGTAATAGAAGTAGTAACTGTGTAACAGTGAAGACAGGCCGGGGCCCGAGCAGGCTGGACGGACAGAGGAAAGAGTGATCAGGGTCCAGAACACAGCAGGCGAGCCTATAGCAAGATGATTCAGTACTGCCAAAGGAATGGGAGGCTAAATTTGCAAAGTGGAGAAGGTCTGGGGGTGCTTTGCACAATGCAGGCTGTGCTTTTTCTCTCCTTCTTCTCCCTCCCTTTCTCCCTCCTTTTCTTTCTTCCTTTTTTTACCTCTCAATCCAAAATAACAAGAAAGTACAAATATTTTTTAACCAAATGTATTCACTAGCCAGCAGTCAAAGCATGTTGTTTTCAGGATTTAATTGCACCCAACTTTCAGCAACAGCATTGTGAAAAGGCCCTCCTAGCATCCAAAGAAAGGACAGGTAGAACTTCAAAGTGCCTACTATGTGCTACTCTTTGCTTTCTTTTCTTCTTTGCTTGGGAAAGGCTTTTCCTAACTCCTTTGCAGCTGACAGAAGAGTGAACTAACTAAACAGTACCGGCTAACAGGATGACTGGTATTAGCAAGTGAATGGAAGGCTAAATTAGAAAAGTAGAGAGGATCTGGGTGTGCTGTTCAAAGGTTAATGAGGAGGGCTGACTTCCTGCTGTCCCCTAGAGTGTGACAAGTTCAACCAGTGTGGGACCTGCACGGAAACCAAAGTGTGCCACATCGTCCAGAACTATACCCTCTGGAGAGTGGGTGACTACGGCTCCCTCTCGGGCAGAGAGAAGATGATGGCCGAGATCTACAAGAACGGTCCGATCAGGTGAGCAGACCCCACACACTGTGCGAGCTGCCACCAGGGGGCCGTGGCAAGCCCTGCGTGCAGCTGTGGGTACCTGTGTGTCGTTTTCACTTCACTTCTTTTTTTAAAAAAATTTTATTTTATTTATTTATTTATGTATTTGTGTATGTGGCCAGCTCAGCCCACCAGGGGGCGGGGCTGGCTGGCATGTGGTGCTGGGGGATTGAACCACGGTCCCTGTGCTTTGCTAAGCTTGTTCTAAGTAGATGCTTTAGACCACTGAGCCATCTCACCAGCCCGTTTTCACTTCACTTCTGGCCAGTTTTACTTTCTTGGCACGAGCTACAGCTCCTGTGTACCTTCCCTGGTAAGAACTTCAGTTTTCTCTGAAGTCACTCTAAGCTGGGTCACTGGGCTGCCCTCGAGGCATCGTGTGAAACGTGCAGGTGAGAAGCACCCAGCTGCAGTGAGGACCGTGGCCCCACGGGCTCTTGAGTGTGGTCACTGCGCTGTGTCGCTCTCACACCTCCCCCTTCCTTTGGGCTAAGTGGGAATTCTGCTTGTTCACAGCTGCGGTATAATGGCGACAGAAAAGATGGCCAACTACACCGGAGGCATCTATGCTGAGTACCACGAGGATGCCTTCATCAACCACGTCATTTCCGTGGTTGGGTGGGGCGTCAGCAGCGATGGCACCGAGTACTGGATTGTCCGGAACTCGTGGGGCGAACCATGGGTAAGACATTCCCACTCTCAGGGCAGACAAGTCTACCTCTCTCATGCGTGGCTGCTGACTTCTGGCTGAGAACCGCAGCCTCCATGTCCCACAGGAGGGACATGGGGCCAGGTCCTCCTTACACCCATGCTTGTTGTAGGGCATCTGGCCACACACCTGGCCCTCAGTACTCCCTCCAGTGGTTCTGCTGCAGCCCTTAGGTGAGCAGGCAAAACTCTGCTCAGCCTCCACCAAGCCCCAAAGGGGCCACAGTGGGATCGGCTGACTTGTCCTTGAAGTTCACGCCTTCTGTAGTTCTGGAGTCTCCTAAGTAACATTCATTTTGCAAGAATACTTTGAGTTGGGTCAGAAGTCCAGGGGAGATAAATGTCACACTTCTGACTTTTAAAGCCTAATATGAACCATTAATAGCTTTAGACACAGAAATTGATTATGAAATGGGGGAAAGTGGTAGATGCCAAAATTTAAATGCCTACAGACGTATTAATAGGTGGGTAAGTCAAGAGTCAACATGTTTTGTTACATTAATTAGCTATTGGGACAGAGGGCTCTGGTGTTGAGTATTTCCAAACAGGGGTCACAGGAAAGATGACAGGCATTGTGTAGGGTGTCCACACACACGTCCAGTGGGGCCGGGCTAGGGGCAGAGGCCGAGCACAGAGCCTGGTCGGGGGGGGGGTACAGCAGGCTGCATGCAGAGGGGCTGACACTGGCTCTCCTTCTCCAGGGTGAAAGAGGCTGGATGCGGATAGTGACCAGCACCTACAAGGACGGGAAAGGCGCGAGCTACAACCTTGCCATCGAGGAGACCTGTGCATTTGGGGACCCCATTGTGTAGGGTGGATGCGCTTGAAGCAGTTTGGTAGGCATGTGGCACGTGCACTAGGCTCATTAGCAGGACCAGAATGATTGGACCCTGGAGAGTCCTGGCACTGAACACATAAAAGCCAGCTTCCTGGCTGAAAGGGCATCCTGAGAGACCATGTGACAACAGGGGGTCTTAGAACACTGCACAGCACAGCTCTGGCTCCAAACAGCTGCGCCAGCCACCTGGTGAAGAAGGACCCTGGAAACAGGAAACGTGGCGCCTCAACTTTCTTCAGTTTCCTTGGCATTTCATGTTACCAATCATGGTTTACAAAATGGCTCAGATTTATCACAGTTCCTATGTCACCTTAGAATCAGCGTTGCCAATGATGAATAAAATGTGTCTGGCTTCACTCAAGGATCGGACCTCCACGTGCCTTATTTATAACAACAATGTAACACTGGGACCTATACCTCCCAACCCAGCAGAAAGGCTTTGTAAAAATTTTATTTTTTTAAATTTTATTTTATGGTAACAAATTTGAACAATAACACACCCACACCCAACCCCCAAAAATCAACCAACCAAATTTGGTTCTTAGGAAACTTAAGTCAACCTTGAAAATAGTTCACCAAGTGTCACTCTGAATTCCTACCATCCCTGCCTGACACTGGACTCATCCCAAGAGGTAATATGAACCTAGTTCCTGTACTGAGGGAGCTGAACACTGCACACAGGACTTAGGAGCAGTGTACTGGGTTGACAACAAAGAGCAGGGCTCAAGCTCAACAACAGGTTCTCACTCACACTGCTAACATTTCCCACGTAGAAAGTATCCACCCTCTCCCAGCAGACTCCATGTCCAAGATGCTGACTGAGCCTCTTCAAGCGGCAGCTTCTGGGAAGGGCCCTCCAGCCAGGCTCCAGAAAGTTCTGCCTCAGTTCACCATGATGAAGTTAGACTTGCAGTGAGCTGTAGCAAGAGACACAGTCACAGTGCTAGACACAGGAGAGAAAGGTGGCATGCGGCGCTGCAGCCAAGGGACACTCGCGCGGGCCTTACCAATAAATTCTGTCACAGGGTCATGCTCGCCCTCTGTTTTGATGGTGCCTGCAATGCTGTCGTTTTCCAAGATGGGGAGGAGGAGCTGCACAAAGTCAGAGGTGTACGGAGGAGCAATCACATCCAGCACCTAGGAGGGAAAAGCGGGGTCACTCTGCCTGCAGCCAGGGTGGACCACACCACGGGTGAAAAGACGGTCAGTCTGGGGGGAAGCCCCCCACCCTCCGGCTTCCTTGGTGACACCAGTCTCCAACACTAAGGCACCAGGGTGCTCTTGTGGGGAGCGCAAACAACAATTTCTGTAGGTAGGAGGCACTCAGCAAAATTGCTGTCATCGGCATCTCCATGATTTATCAAAAGCACAGTTCTCAGGCACAAAATGAACTAAATTAAGTCACAAAGGGCACTGCTAGTGTAAAGAGCATGAAACACGAAAGCAACGGTGCATTGCTGACCTCAGTGACAAAATAGCGAATGAGTGAAATGTCAGTGTCCAGCTTCTCCAGACACTTTCGGATGTAACTGACAACAGGAAGTACATAACCTCGACTCAGCAGGTGAACCATCCTGTCCAGCAGGGTCTTCTTCAACTCAAGCTGCAGAAGAGCAGGGGCAGTTGGTCAGAACTGGGTGCTCCCACAAGCCCAGCAGGCCCTGGGGTGCTGCTCACCTGCTCCATTACATCCAGCTGGGAGTGCTCAGTCTCAAAGAGCTTAACGAGCAGCTGCAGAACCTGGGGGTGCAGGAGCTGGTGGCAGGTGCTGATCTGCAAATAGGCCAAAGGGTAGCTCCCTCACAACGCAGCTACCATGCTCACTGTCACAGCTACCAGAGCCAGGGGACTGCTGAGGGTGAATGCTGGAGCATGCTCATCTTTTCCCTAACATTTAGTACATACCAAGAAATCTACATGATCAGTAAAAATCCTCATTTAACATAGAGATAAGTAGTTTTGGAAAGAGTATCTACTGAACTCATCATGAAGATGCACAGGAAATACGAACATGCATAGTACAAGACAGACCTACTGTGTACAACCCAGGTGGCCCTTCTGGCCCCCTACCTCGTCCAGCAATGCCAGGTGCACTGGAGTATGGTCAGTCTGCAGCTGGAAGTACCTTGGTTCTGACACAGTCCAATCCACCCATTTCAGCACACCCATGGCTACCACTGGAAACCTACAGGCAATCAGGTAGAACGATTCCTTTAGTGCCTGCTTAGGCAAGCACAGGGACCGAGGTTTGATCCCTGGCACCACAAGCTGCACCGGCCCCACCCCCAGGCGTGCTGAGGTGTGGCAGCACACGCCTGTAATCCCAGCACTGGGGAGGCTGAAAACAGGGGGTTCACTAGGAGTCCGATCTGTGTAGTGAGGCCCTGTACTAAATACATAAAATAAAACACCCTAAATGAACCCTTTCTTAAAAACAAGTTTTGTAATTCTGGGTGGTTTTCTTTTTACTAAATCTAATCTGTAAAGATTTACTGAACTGATTTCTGCCTAGTGAACACCTGAAAATTATGCAGCTGAACCTGTTTAATAAAAGTCTTCTACGTGTATTTAAAAAAAGTAAATGCAAGGTGTTAGTATCTCAGAAGCTTTGTGAACTTTTAATATGAAAACCTGAGTCCCCCTCCCTCCCAAGGACTGAGTTTGGGAACCGACCCCACCACTCACCTAATACACTGATACAGTGTGCTCAGTTCCGCCACAAGTTCTGAGGCACCCTTGTTCTCATTGCAACACAGATTGTGAACCGTCTCTACAGCCTTCGAGGTTGACTTCAGCTCATCTTTATTGATGCTCACCCGCTTGTTCTGCAAACACATGCACAAGGTGATGAAGCCTGCTGCACCGCAGCCATGCTGCTGGGCATCCTGGCATTAGCCGCTCCCTCTGCAGTCCGCTTCCCTTTCGCTGGAGCAGAAGTCAAATTAACCGTCAGACTACAAGGTCACCGAGGGTAAGGAAACTGAAACCCGTTTGTCTCTGGCTTAGGCAGTCAATGTCACTTCTTTAGTCACATTTCACATTATAGTTTGCAGAAGTATCAAAAAGCTATGTAGTTTCTCACGATGTGTAGCCCTTTTGCTGTCTTATGCACAAACAGAAGAGAACAAAAACTTTAACTCTAGGCAGGCTCAACAGTTCTTGCAGCCCAGATTCCCACTACCACAGCAGAGGACACTGGGCTCCTCGAAGCCCGCAAGAGCTGACAGTACCTTCTTCCAGGTCTCAACCACACTTGCTGCATAGGCTAAGATGTGGATGTACTTGTGCTTGTGGTCCTGGTTGATCCGGGCACCCGGCTTGAAGAGTGACTGCATGAACAGGTCCAGGAAGGCCGGCACCCGGATCTGAAAGGCACACGCCAGAAGGGGGCTGGCAGGAGGGTGGGCATGCATGCTCACATTCACCCCGCAGGACTCTGGGAAGCAGAAGCTCCCCCACGCACGGAGGCTGACACGTGATGGGGAGGACGGAAAGTGACAGACACGTTTCCATTTGAACTGGGATTTGCATTCACTGCCTTGAGGATTAGAGGAATTGTAAAGACTTTCCAAAGCCACCCTGCCAATCAGCACTGAAGGTACCCCATCTTATTAAAATAAGGGGTATAGGGCTGGGGAGATGGCTCAGTGGAGTAAGCGCTTCCCTGGCAAGCACAAGGGCCTGAGTTCAATCCCCGGTTCTGCAAAAAAAATAAATAAATAAAAAATAAAAATAAAAATAAAATAAGGGGTAACTTACGAGTTCAACGGGCGGGGGGTCCATGCTTGTGAACATCTTGAACAGGACTGTGATGTCTGCAGGGTTCAGGGCTCCTTTGGACAGCATAGCCCCAAGGGCCTGGCAGGCACGGGGGTAGGAGGCAGCTGTGCCCAAAGCCAACGTGATCTGACTCGCGTCATGGCCTCTTGATGGAAAAACCACACAGCCTGTCACTAGCAAGCCAGTTTATACCTTTTGGTTTTTCTCTTTTTGCTTCCTACTATTTAATGCACTATACTGTTGAGATCTGTCATATTTCTGTCCTTAATGGTTTACTGACTAAATGACCCATGAAAACAACATTTAGAGTAAACTAGAAAACATTATTCCAATACAGCTTATATATTTGAGAGAGGAGATCATATAGATTTTTACAGTTCTTCTTGGGGGGGGGGCAGTACTAGGGATCAAACTAGGGACCTGGTGCTTGCCAGACAGGTGCTTATGCTGCTGAGCTAGCTCCCCAACTCAGAAGTCATACACTTTTAAAATATTTAAATAAGACATTAGTAGAAAGAAATAAAGTTAGTAGAGATAACTACTCTACAAGATAGACTACAATATCACAATCAAACCAATGAGTTCCTATTTTAAAACCCTTGTTATTTGCTATTGATGATCCCAACATATAAAAGCCTAAGTTATACACCAGGGAACTGAAGGATAATCAACTACCTTACAAAACAGGCATCTAAGCAAGCCTGAAAGGCAAGTTCTCTGGGTGAATTAAAACCACCCTGACTTCCAGTTCTGCAGGACACAAAGGGACCCAGACACCACACTGGAAGGGGCTAGGAGCCTGGCTCGGACTGGCCCGGGCCTCATGGGGAGTGCAAGAAGCAGAGCACGGCCTCACTTCTCCTGGGCGAAGCGCTGCACCTCCTGGGCCACCCTGCGTACTGCGGAGCCGCCCTGCTCCTCCTGCGCCAGCACGGACATCACAGCCTGGGCGAACAGGTACGTGTGCTCCCCGTGGCACACCATCTTCTGGAAGGGGACAGCAAGACAGGGCTTGGGGTTTCAGGGCACTAACAAGCACAGAGAGCAGTTCTCAGGTAGGGAAGTTACATCTGGGCCAGGTACAGGCCATAGTTTTTCAGGCTTGACACCCAAAACCCCAACCAGCCTCTTAATCCAAGACTCACAAAGAACTTACGGCAAACTCAGGAAGATTTTTTTCAAGATTTTCTTCTCCTCCATCCAGGATGGTGGCTAGGGAGGTTCGCAGCACTCTAGAGAACACTTCCAGCTGCTGACAGGCAGTGGACACGCTAGTGATCTCCCCTTGGTAACCTGCATCTGAAATCAGCTGCCACACAAAAATGAGAGCTGAGCGTAAGGACCCAGTGGCCCGGCTTTCCGCGCAGGGTGGTGCGCAGCGTGCGTGGTGCCTCCTGTTCTGCCAGCACTGTGGCCCTGACCCCCGCCACCACCTGTGCAGGGTCTCTGTGTCAGAGAAAGCAGGAGCAGCAAGCATGCTCATAGGCTCCTCAGAACACATGCACATTCTGAATATGGCCCTGCCGAGCC